TTGTGCACTGGCTAGGTGTATCTTTTTATTTAAAAGAGGGGCCACAATGTATATCGTATTTTCATCTTTTAAAAGGAAATTGTGCTTAGTAGTTGATCCATTTTCTTATTTCTGGTTGGCCTAGAGCGCCCTCTTTAAAAGCAGAAGAGGAGATGGGGAAAATAAATAAAGGACCTAGTAGGTTTCTGCCATAAAATATAAGGTACTAACTCCATTGTACACCAGGGATGTATTATGTGAAAAAGGGAAATGTTTCATTTCCTCCTTTTTAACTGTTGTTTGTTGGTTTATTTTTGTTTGTTTCATTTTGTTTTGTTTTGTTTTTTAGATAGTCTTGCTATGTAGCCCAGGCTAATCTGGAATTCATGATCTTCCTGCCTCAGCCTCAAAAAGTCTCTTCCTCTTTATAAAAATGTGCCTGATCCAATGATTGTCTCCCAGATTCTTAGAATGCCAGAGCTTCCAGACTCTAATTTATGCAACTGCACTTAGAATGGAAAGCCCACCACCTGGAATTGCCATACTATCACCGTAGTATTCTAAACTGAAGCTACAAGATGGGAAAACCCACTAATGGCTATAGTCAGACCCGTAGACTACTACCCCGGAAGAAGGAGAATACAGTCTACAGTCTGTGCTGCAAACCATCGGCAGCAAGCTGGGCAAGGTGGCACATGCTTGTAATCCCAGCACCCTGGGACACTGAGGCAGGAGGATCACAAATTCAAACCCAACTCAGGCAACGTATGAAGACCCTGTCTTAAAATCTTGTTTAAAAAAGTGCTGGTTTTATAGCTTAGTCCAAAAGCCTTGTGTTCAATCCTCAGAAATGGAAGAAGAAGAAGAAACAAAAGAAGAAAGCAGCTAGAAATGAAAGTGTCACTTAACTCTCTCATGGGCAGAGAATTCCTTCATGAGCAGTGGCCACAGGTGGGTAAACTCAAAACAGGTGGGATGCAGCAACCCTTTCGCCTTTCACTTCTCCAGATACACAAGGAAGGCAACCCTAATGGGTGCAGCGGCACCTAAAGGGAGCAGGCCGTGAAGGAGGTCTTGTCAGGGAGGACATCTGAGCAGCACTTTCGATTGATTTTGTTGTAAGCTGTCAAGCAAAACTAATAGAAATCTTGATCAAAAGAGTTTGGGGAACCGAAGCGTAAGTAAGTGAGTATATTTCCCTCCAAGAAAATATGAAGCATATGGCCTGGCATCTGATTTGGCGACAGGACAGAATATCTGAAATTGGGACTGTCCAGAACAGAAAGAACATATGGTTGCTTCAAGCATGAGGTGTACTTGGGAGGTTCTGAAAGCTGAGAGGAGTGGGCCAGGGAAAGGGTGACCGAGTACACTGAGTGAATGTCTAACGTCGTCAACGTTGATTACAGAGAACTAAGATGTGTCTGCCAACCAAACCCCTGAGGAGTTTCCCTCTTCTCTCTGGTGTGACTGATACTAACAGCTTCCGGCAATGTCCAGTAAATAGGCTGAAGAAGTGGGTGATGATGGATTTTGAGCTAATATCAGACACGTGTCAGCAAAAATAGCAAAGCAGTTAGGAAACAGGCAAAAGATAGTAGTTACACTTCATCTAAACTCCCACCTTGTGACAAATGCCGGTATCATAGCTATTTTATTTAATAGGCCATATGGCCTATAAATAGAAGAAAAAAGCAAAAACGTAGAAATTTTACAGGTAAATGATATCTTTAAGCTAAAAAAAAAAAAATGATGCTGGCATAGTGGCACACACCTATAATCCCAGCATTCAGGAGGCTGAGGCAGGAGGATTGCCATGAGTTCAAGGCCAGCCTGGGCTACATAGTCATTTCAAGGCCAGCCTGACCTACAAATTGAGAGTCTATGTCAAAAAATCAAACAAAAATATTCATGGAGCTGGGGATTTAGCTCAGTGGCACTTTAGCCTGCCTTGTAATCACAAGGTCTTGAGTTCAATCCCTAGTTTAAAAAAAAGAAAAAAAAAATTCACTGCCATGTTGTGTTTTTATACATTGTGAAAGTGCAGTCATTTAAAATTACATCTATCTGGAAAGAAAGTCACCATACTACCAATAAGGTAGATTCTGAAATAATATGTATAATCTTGACTCCAAATATTAATAAATTGTATAACTATTGACATAAATGTTAACAAAAAGAAATACCACAACATTAGCAGCGGCAGAATTATGCATTATACTATTTGTGTTCCTGCGTTTTCTTTTCTTTTAAATAAAGATGCATTATTTTAGTATATGTGCTGCCAAAGCAAGCGCAAGATGCATTATTTATATAACATTTTAATAAACATTTTATGAACAGGGATATTTTCGTTGAAGATTTTCTCTCTAAAGCACTGAAAATCAAGGTACAGGAATATGAAAATGTCTTGAATGTGAAGCTCAGAAGGTTGCTTAATTATCTGGAAAAACAATGAAGGACTTTTATATGTGCTGCAAGACCATAATTAAGTGGGATTTTAAGTCTCCACATCTTGCTCTTTCTTCGAGGATAACAATTATTTATCTTAAAATTAAGCCAGGGATTTAGCTCAGTGGTGCTGCCGCCTACCTCACAAGCTCAAGAATCCGAGTTCGATCCCCGGTACCAAAAAAAAAAGCATTCATAAATGTGGGGGTTATGGGATGGGGGAAAAAAAATCAAAGATTTCTGACACAAACTTTACTTTTAAGTGATTTTACATTCTGTCAATGTGGTGTGCTTTTTGGTTTGTGTTTTTCCTTCTGGTACCAAGGCTCAAACTCACCACCTTGTGCTTGCAAGGAAAGCATGATGCCACTGAGCTAAACCCCTGGCCCTCACTCTGTGAATGTTTATCCCATTCTGTTGATGTTATCTGATGGTTAGTCTGAACCATCGGAAGTATCTCGAGATTTCAAAAATAAATAAGAACAGGCTGGGCATAGTGGCATACGCCTGTAATCCCAGTACTCGGGAGGCTGAGGCAGGAGGATCGCTGTGAGTTCGAGACCAGCCTGGGCTACATAGTGAGTTCCAGGTCAGTCTCAACTATATAGTGAGACCCTGTCTCAAAAAACCAAAAAAAAAAAAAATAATAATAATAATAAAATAAATAAAATAAAATAAAATGGCTGGAAAAAAATCAATCTTGAAGCTAAGCAACAGGAATGCACTACCCACAGAACTGAACTGATGAGGAAAGTGGGATAATGTGGCCAACGGGCCTGGTTTTCCTGACCCCGTGGTTTTCATATTTTCCCGGCCTTCTGTGATAAAACCTAGAATGTGCTGTGTCCTCTTACAGCTGATGCCACACATGCCAAATGCTACACATGTAACTTGCCCTTTGGTCACTTCCACACTGGGAACTCAGGTGTGCAGTAATCTCTGCTGCTTCCAGGGGTGGAACACAGAGAGGAGCAGGGAGAGTCACTCATCTCCAACTCCAAGTCAAAGTTCTCGCACAGATGTCTGCTTGAAATGCACAGCTCACACGCTTGCACCCTTCCTGCAAGGAAGGCAGACAAAGTATGCCAGCTTCTATTTCCACTGCAAAGGGCAGTCTCTGCTTACCATCAAGATCTGTATGTTCAGAAATCCTCTAAATACAAGAAGAAGTTCAGGTGGCCCGTGGAAGTGATCCGTCTCCACTCTGGTATCCAAAGTGTTTTTATTTATTTCAGACCAATGACATTCATCTGATGTATAATAGGTTCTTTGAATTCAAATTAATTTTTAAAAGTCAGATTAACAGATTAACAGAATGTTACCATGATATTAGTTATTTGGCCACGTGATTGTTTCTATCAATTATATACTACACAACCGTATGATGGAAATAATCCTATACTTCGGTTGTAAAAAAAGTCCTAACCTTGGCTCATCAAAAAAGATTTCTATTGTTTACCCAGAAAAAAAAATTTTTCCCTCATTTCTTTTCAATAATTCTTGAGAAGAAATAGTTATACAAAGGCTCGAGCATTTGCCAAGAAGAAATGGGGTTTAATGGAAACCTTCAATCTAGGACAAACCTTAAGAAGAGCAGTAATGGACAATGTATTCTGCAAAACTTTTTAGCCTTCATATTTACTGTGCTGTGGTCAAGTGGTCTGAGCAAAGGCGTTCAAGCAAGAGTTTGTGTATGTTTTTCTTAGTTGTGCATCTCTCTTACAGAGTGACCTTGAAGAAACCCATTAAGGTTTTTTGTTTTGTCTTAAGATACCAAACTCAAATGGGAATGCCTATAATTAATCAAAGACACAGTTTTTACTGATGGATGGTAAAGAATAAAATCCTGGGACAAGAATTCTGAATTTTCCTCTCATGATGTAGTTTGAGGTTTTAGCCATGTCGCTTAAATTCTTATGTCTTGATTTCCTCCATCTATGAGTGATACTAATACCTGTAACAGTCTCATTTTTCTTCAGTCTGTAAATGATAATAATATCTGCACTATCTATCTCAAATTATGTATCTGGCAGCATTTTAAAAGCAAGGGCTTATTATTGAATTTTATCTCCCAGCATTTTGTTAGTTTGTTTGCTGATTTGTTTTTGAGACAGAATTTCGCTGTGTAGTCCAGGCAGCCTGGCCTTGAACTCACACAGTCCAAGCTGGCCTCAAACTTGCAATTTCCCCACTCACTTAAACCTCCAGAGTGCTGAGCTCACAGGTGTTTGCCACTACACATGTGCCACAGACGCCACTGCACCTGGTGTCTTCCAGCACTTAATGCTGAAAATGTAGACTGTTGCTTTTGATTTTTATCTTAAAAATACGTCTCCAAAAATCAATTTTATTCTTTAGTGTCTTTTTATTTCTTTCCTGTACTAAAGATTGAACCTAAAGGCAAGCTCTCTATCACTGAGCTACCCCCACCCCACCGCAGTGCTCTGAAAATCAATTTTAAAATGATAAAAGCTAATAGAGACATTCTTTTAAGTTTGTGGCCATCTTCTGTACATCAGATTTTTAAATGGTAATTATTAATGTGGTTTTCTTGCACTTACTGTTTCTAGGACTCCAGTCTTCAAAAGCTTTCTGAATTCTATTTGTGGCCCCTGGAGGACTGAGATGCTCTTCTGATTTAGGTTTGTTTGATTGTTTGTTGTGTGGTTTTTTGTTTTTGTTTGTTTTTTTGTTGTTGTTTTTTGAGACAGGGTCTCACTATGTAGTTGAGACTGACCTGGAACTCACTATGTAGCCCAGGCTGGTCTCGAACTCACAGTGATTCTCCTGCCTCATCAGCCTCCCAAGTGCTGGGATTACAGGCGTGCGCCACCACGCCTGGCTTTTGGGGGTTTTTTTTGTTTGTTGGTTTGTTTTTTGGTACCGGGATTGAACTCAGGTCCTTGTGCTTGAAGCAGTTGGCGGAACCACTGAGGTAAATCCCTGGCCCTTCTGTTTGTTTTATAACCTAAGATGTCGAAGATAGATTCCATAGAGGGGACAACCATTAAAAAAGCAAATAAAGTATAGTAGAATTGTTCCACTTAAAATAATTGCCCCCATTAGACGCCTAAACTATAAACTCCATTTATAAGGAGAAGAAACAAATGGAGGAAAATGAGCTGAAAGAAATTTGCTTGACAATTACACCATATCTACTTTGTGAAATTACCAAGTACCTAAGGACTAGAAAAGGACTAAAATACTCCCTAGAAGTGGCTCCTTTGTTCCTTTGATGTCTGGCCTTCTAAATAGTGTCTGGATAATCTCATATAAACTCTCCAGAGCTGTGAATTTATAGATTAAAAACTGCTGGTGCCCGGTGGCTATTCAGTTAATCAAGAACCAGAAATAACACAGACAGACAGGATACTTATGTTGGCAGCTCCATAATTTTGGCTAGAATTTTGTGTAGAAAAAAACCTCAAGCCTACTCTTTTACAGCAGTTCTTACAATTTCTCAACTTTTACTGTATAAATAGAATTCCTTTCTCTTTTTAATCATCTTTCAACAAAGTGAAAGCTAGATATACACGTTTTTGTGTTATATCCATCAACACTTTAGTAGAAGACAACTACATTGCCTGTTAATTTCAAGTGGGATAAACCCTTGTAACGTTTTCCTCACACCTTCTCTGTGTGTATTTATCACAAAAATTTGGACGAGGGCAAATGATCCGAAGAGGTGGTGCTTCCCAGCTGCCTGGCTGCCTGGCTCTTTGGGTGTAAATCCAAAGAATAAATAAGGACCAAATGGAGAACAGATACTGGGAAGTAGGAAAAAAAAATGTTCAAACGGGAAAGGGTGCAAAAGAGGGGGGAGAAGGAAGAGAGGGGGTAGGAAGGAAATAGGATAAAAAAATTTAAAAGAATGAAAGGAAAACAATAGAAACAAAGTTTTATAAATGGAGAAGGGAGGAAAGATTGAAGGGAAGGAAAGAGAATAGGAAAAATAATTAAGATAGATTATGTACAGGTACAAATTCCCCATGATGAATACGATATCATGTATGTCAGAAATGTACCAATAACATTATTTTTTAAAAAAAGAACAATCTGTAATATAGTGAAAGGAATGACTGTGAACTGTGCTTAGGCTGTGCTGCTATAACAGAATACCACAGACGGGGCAATTTTTTTTTTTTTTTTGGTACCCCAGATCCAACTCGGGTCCTTGCACTTGGGAAGCAGGAGGAACCACTGAGCTAAATCCCCGCCCCGGGCAATTTATAAACGATAGAATTTTTTTCTGGAGGTTGGAAAGTCCAAGATCAAGCCATCAACAGGCTCATTGCCTTGGGAAGCTCCAATCTCTGCATCCAAGGCGGCACTTGTGTCCTCACTTTGCGGTAGGTAGAAGAGCCAAAGGGATGCGCTTCGTCCTCTGAGCACTTTTACAAGGGTACCTAGTACCTCTCCTAAGAGAGGAGGACCCAGGACACAATCCCCTTACAAAGGCACCTCCTCCCACACCATCAAGACCCATTCAAGCTACAGCAGAGGTGATTTTGTTTTTGTGTTTGTTTGCTTGCTTGCTTGAGACAGGGTCTCACCATGTAGTCCAGGCTGGCCTTCAACTTGAGATGATCCTCCTACCTCAACCTCCCCAGTGCAGGGATGAGAAGTGAGCTCAACCACACCCAGCTAGGTGATTTCTCAATGGGGGAGGGGAAATAGGGCCCAATAATAGCACCAAAGAAAAATCTAATTAGCTAAGTGAGATATGCTATTCAGAAATTGATTTTAATAAATAAATAAAAATAAAATATTCTATTCAGTAATATTTACACATTAATTGAGCCTAAAAAAGAACTTGACTTAATCTTTCTTGAGACTAATATATGCAAAATCATACACATAATATTGCAATGCAAATTATACCACACTGTCCTGAAGGAACTATAAAGATGTATAAGAAATCATCCTTCATCATAAAGATTTTTGCAGACTAGTAAAGGTTTAAACTTATGACACACACTATAAATGGTTCCATTTTTTAAAAATTAGCAGTACTATGTACAAGGTATGGTTAAAAAAAACCCAAGCAAACAAGTACAGCTATTGCAGTGACCTAAATAGTGACTTTAAAATATTGTGATTATCAATTAATTTTGTTCTCATGGTTTTAGAAGCCAGTCTTGTATAGGATATGTTAAAAGAACAGTCCCCATCCTTCCTCTCTAGATTATCTTTGCCTTATTTTGGCTACACTAAATAACATGCTTGTACTGCTATTTCATGTATTTTTAATTGTAGGTATTCACTATTGTCTTTCACACCACATATATATGAAAGGTCTCATTCTTATCGCAATATAATGATATAACCTTGTTCAGATAAATTTATCATTTATATAGTTATGACTATATATGTTTTCAGAACAAAATAACATAGTCATCTATAATCATTTTCATTTCATTCAAAATTGTTCTGCTTTCCCTGAACTTAATAATTTGTATGTGTACACGTGTAGCTCTCTACCAGTTGCTCAATTCATATCACGTATTCTATCAATTTCATCTTCTTAAATATTCCTGTCCCAGTGCCTCTGGCCTATTCCAACATTAAATTGTTCCATTGCTATCACCCTAGAATCTCCCTGAATAAACATCTCTCCTCTTTAGTATAGACCTCCTGTTTTGATGGTATATGACCTTTAATAACTTCCTCAGAAAGGATACATCGAAAAGAATTTTTGACAACTTTTGTGTTTAAAAAATCTCCCCCCCCCACCTTTTTTTATGTGCCTACATGCTGAATATAAAATTCTACCTTGGAAGTCATTTTCCATCAGAATTTTGATACCATTTTCCCATTGTTTTTTGCCTTCCAATATTGCTATTAAGGAGTCCAAAGCCATTATAATTCCTGATCTTTTGTCTTTATCTCCAGTGTTATTCCCTGGATTTGGTTCTTTTTTCATACCTTGTGCTATACATAGATCTTTTCATCTGAAACTGTATGGGCTTCAGTTTGGGGGAATTTTCTTGTCATTTTGTTAATGGCTTCCTAATAGTTTTCTTATTTCTCTTTGTCTGGATTGCCTATGAGTTGGAAATGGGAACCTCTTAAACTGGTTTTCTAGATTTTTCTTTCTCATCTATTGTTTTCTAATTCTTGATCTTTTTCGCTCTTTGTTATCTGAATGTTGTTTTCATATAACATCTTGTTTCATGAATGTAATATCTTCCCTTGCCTTTGAGGGTTTTGTTTTTTTGTTTTGTTTTGTTTTTTTCTCTTTGCCTATTTCCTCAAATGTCTTTCCTTGTGTTCATTTCTTTGGGCTTTTGTCTTTCTGTTATAGGATTTCTTCAGTTGCCTCTTTGGTCATAAGTAAGATTATGACACTAAAATCTGATTGAAAGGTCTAAGCATATATGTCTTAGTCCATCTGAGTTTCAAAAACAAAATGTCATAAGCTGAGTAGCTTATAAACAATGAAAATTTATTTCTCACAATTCTGGGGCTGTAAAGTCTAAGATCAAACTGCTGGCAAATGTAGAAACTGGTGAGGGGTTATTTTCTGTATCCATGATAGAACAGGATAGCATCCTAGGGCCTCTTTTATAAAGGAAATAACCCTAATCATGAAGGTTCCACTCTCATGACCTAATCACTTCCCAAAGGCCCTAACAATTTACTATCACATTAGTGAGTAGGTTTCAACATAAAAATTCCGAGGAAGGCACAAACATTCAGATCATAGCAATGTGTAATCTCTGAGTTTCACTGTGAAATTATATGGCTGGGTAATTTTCTGAGCAATCTCCAAACTGAGACATTTAACTTTCCTCTTCAACTGGTTTGAACCCTAGTAACAAAACTTCATCTCTCCCTCCTAGAAGGTCTAAGCCTGGCTGCCAGTGTCTTGGAGCCAAATGTGGTAAGAAGACCAAGATCCAGCATTTTGCCCACGCTCACCTTCCCCGATGCTTGGTATCATATCCCAGTCCACTGCAACAATGACCCTCTGCCCAGAGACACCCTGTTTTATGGACTCCAAAGATATCTCCAGTGTTTTGTGGGTAATCATCAGAAGCGTGGAGTGGGAGATGAGATTTAACTATTTGCTTTTAACAAATTCTCCTTTTAAGATGTTCCTCCTTTGATTTTCATTTCCAGAAGTATCAAATCTTCCTCATTCCTGACCATTAGAACATTTCTGAAAAACAAATCAGTTTAATTCTTGACTTTCCCCTAGCTAATTCAAGATTGTACTGTCTATGAACTTCTGTCAGTAATCACCAATCAGTCTTCTTCGTGGCTTTATAAATGTTGGTGATTTTATTTACTTTCCTGTTTTCAAACTTGTCAGTTTATGACCTTAATTTTTTTCTGGGCTGGGAATACAGCTTTGAAGTGGAATATTTGCCTATTGGGTGTAATCCCCAGTACTGAAAACAAAACTTTTTTCCTAGCATATGCAAAGCCCTGGGTTTGATCTCCAACACTGAAAAAAAAAAATTACTGTTTTAGTGGAGTTTCAAGAGTAAGCAAAATTAAATGCACATGTTCCCTTTTACTGAAAACTCCAATTTTTAAAATTCAGAGATTAGTGGATGAAAAGGAAGTTAATCAAATCCAGAGTTATCAAAGGGAAGACATCAAAGGCTAGCATACTTTTCCTCTTATTCCAGCAGTC